GAGTTATGGGGGGAAAAAAGAGGAACAAATGTAATAATCTGAACAATAAAGATTTAATTAAAAAATATTTTTATTTATTTCAGAGAGGGAGACAGGGAGAGAAATAGAAACATCAATGATGAGAAAGAATCATTGATTGGCTGCCTCCTCCATGCCCCCTACTAGAGATAGAGCCCGAAACCCAGGCATATGCCCCTGACCGGAATCAAACCCATGACCCTTCAGTCCACAGGCTGACACTCTATGTACTGATTCACTGAGCCAAGTCGGCTAGAGCGCCAAGTGTATTCTTAATAAATGGGCTTGCTTTGCTTCTGCTTCTTGTCTGTATTCCTTCTGCTGTCTGCCATTTGTCTGTATTCCTTCTCACAAAATTAGCAAGAGCTGAGGAGGGGAGAGCCCATTGTCCCCTGATTCAGGAGGCAGTCTGGTAACAGAACCAACAGAGTCACCTGACCGGGCCTCGTTGGCTAATTTTCACAGTAATGATAACTATAAGCTTTTGAAAATCATCTCTAGTCCTCAATATTATGCTACTATCTCCTCAAACTTCTTACTGTCTCAGAAACAGATGTAGGCACATGATTCAGATTTTCCTTTCAGCTTCAGTTAAATTCTCAAATTCCTAATTTCATCCTAATATAAACACGCTATATAATTCAACACTATAGAAGACTATTCCATTTCCGAAATTTTGTATTTCATGTTCTGTCTACAGTGTTCCCCTACTACCTTACACTGATAGCTATCTAACTTACATTATGCTAAGAAATTGGGAGTTCTAAACTAGAAGCAGTGGGGAACTTCAAAGCTTTGAAATAGAATAGATAAGACCTGAAGTAATATAGCACTATTCTTTTTACCAAACTTGACTGAGCTCTTTATTTCAACCTCTTATTCACTTTTATATCTTATGTAGCAAATTGTACATTGTACATGTAAAGTGGCTAATAGCAACTCTTACTAGCTTCCAGCACTGAGCAGAGGTGAGCCAGGGGATCAAAGAAAAAAAAATGTCTCAATGTAAGCATTTTAAAGATGTAATATTTGAAATTGTGAGGTTTATGAAAAAAATTTCACTTGTTCTCAATGAGAAGAACAATAAATTGCCATTTCTTGAGGACTGTTACTTTGAATTGTCCTTTCTCATTTTTCCTAATGCCTTTACTCAGTGAAATTAAAAGGATGGGAAACAAACACTGAGTATAGTTCACATCATTAGTGACCAATCCCATAGCAGGAGAGTGGGGGAGAGAAAATAGGACTTGTCTTTCTCATTCTGTGTACTGCCTTCCTTCTTTATAGCGAGTACATTCTAATTTTACAATGTAAAGAAAAGATCTAGTTAAGAAAAAAACAAACACCTAAGTTATTCCCCTGCCAAGAAATATTTACTTGTATCATCTCCTGAATTTACAGTTGGTTTTTCCCCTCAACATTTCATTATCAAAAACTTCAGACATACCAAAAGTTGAAATTTACAGTGAACACCGATAAACCAAGCACCTAAATTTTGAATTTTTCACATTTAACTCATTACTATATGAAGGGTTTATGGTGCCTGATAGATATGCTGAAGAAATGCAAGAATTTGAGGATCTAATTTTATTTTTGATGGTCTTACCAAATTATTTAAGTAGTCACTGGTTGACTTCATTACTTTGCTCAGACACTCAACAGTCTATTCTATATAATAAAAGGCTAATATGCAAATAGACCAAACTGTGGAGCAACCAAACAACCGGTCACTGTGATATGTGCTGACACATGCATGTGGAAAATGGCAGGCATTGGCAGCAGTTGGGCAGAGTACAGAACATGGTGGGTGTTGGCCACAGCGGGATGGTAGAGGTGAGCAGGGGCGCCAGACCAATGCGGGGTACTGGTCGCTGTCATCGAGGCGAGCCTCTGTGGTTACTGAAAATTCTTTGCTCCTGCATGCCACAGTCCCGCCCAGCAGTTGCACCTGCTGCCGGCGCTGGTGCTGCTCGCACCCGCAGCTGGCTCTAGAGCTGCCGTTCACACCCACTTCCAGCACCCAGTGAGGGTCCCGATTGCTCAGCGCCATCAGCAGGTACAAGTGGCAGCTCCTGGCCCTGATCGCCCATGAGGGCTTCTCCACCCCCCCCTACTCCTAAGGGGCGATCGGGGCAGCAGCCACCGCTCGCACCCACTGACAGCGCCAGCCCTGCTTGCACCTGCTGCTGGTGCCGGCCCCAATCGCTCCACACCGTCAGCGGGTGCCAGCACCTTCAGTGGGTGGGAGCAGTGGCAGTGGAAGCGGGACTGCTGGCAGACAGGGGACCGGGGGACGCGGTGGAAGGGGCCAGGCAGGGGCATGGAGGATGGGCCGAGACCTGCCCATGTGCCCACTACAGCCTGCGGCCCACAGTTCCTTTTAAAGTGCATGAATTTGTGCACTGGACCCTTCGTCTAATATAATCATGTAACAAATGTGTCATTCAATTAACTCTAAGCTTTAATGAAATAACAAGGCCATTAACCTTTTGCAAAGGAACTTCAGAACAACCTGCTATATTTTCTAGAATATCCTCATAGGCCTCTGAGAGCAAACTGGATTTTTGGAAATATCCCAAAGGCTCATTCAGATCCAAGTCTAAGAGATTGAAATGATCACTGCAAAAACAAACAAACAAACAAAAAAATAAACAAACAAACAAAAAAAAAACAAGCAAAAAAAGGGTTATAAATTAATGAGAATGATTTCCCTGGAAGATCCAACACAGGCCTCACTTATAGTCAAATACTCTGAGTGTCAGCCCCACCAACAAGAACGTACCTTGTTCTGCTCATATGTCATTTTGTTTCCTAGGAAAAACCTTGAGAGAAGCTGAAGTATACATAAGAATTTAGCCCAGCTGGCATGGCTCAGTGGTTGAGCGTCAACCTATGAACCAGGAGGTCACGGTTCGATTCCTGGTCAGGGCATATGCATGGGTCGTGGGCTCTATCCCCAGTGTGGGGTGTGCAGGAGGAAACCGATCAATGATTCTCTCTCATCCTTGATGTTTCTATTTCTCTCTCCCTCTTCCTTCCTCTCTGAAATCAATAAAAATACATACTTTTTAAAAAGAATTTAATATCTGATAAAAATTGGTATCAGAAACAATAGAGAATTACTAAATATACAGTGATGGGAACATTGATTGACCATCTGGGAAAATGAGATCCTTACTTTTCATGAGTACTTCTCAGATTTCAAGCAGAAAATCTTCAGAGGAAAAAAATGCCACATTACCTAAAGGTTAACTTAATATATTTTTATTTTCATATTTCTTATATGTATACCAACATAAAAATAGGAACTTTATGCTTATAGTTCTCACAAAACAATAAAAGCTAAAATATTTACAAATTAAAAAACCAAAAAAATGCAAATTAATCACCTTAAACATTTATTTAACAAGTAATGCTATTTTCCTAAAATAAAAGGGTGTTTTACACAAAAGAAATAAATCACAAGTATTTGGTTTAATAGCAAAAATCTGTAGTTTCATATCCGACTCTATTTTTAGACTGCTGCTGAATGTTTTTACTTTAATAATAATGATGAGAACACTTGTTCACATAAGTATCTTGTTCAAACTGGTATTGATAAAGTTAAGCCTTTTTCTACCTCTTTCTGTGCTTTCTACTTAGAATAGAAAATTAACCAAACCTATCAAATGCCATTTTAAAAACGTGTGGATAGATTGAAAAAATTAACAACTGCGTTTACTGAAACCTGCATTAATTCCTATTGAATCAAAATACCTTTAGAATTTGGAAAACAAACATTCTTTACTATTTCTTTGCCATTATGCTTATTGCAAATGGACTATTGAGTTACTCTCTGTAGGAGCCTTAGAACACAATGGTATTGACTGTGAAGTACAGATCTGTGAGTGAACATAAGATCCTACCAGGTATATCACGTGTACAGCAACAGCACACTCTCATTGGTCTCATTCTCATGTTCTCTGTGTTCTACAGTTTCAATAGTTTTGTTTTTTTTCCACATCAGATTTTAATTTTGAATACTTAAAACTATTGGTGATGTGGTTGTCACTTTCTTCGTGTTTACTAAGAATGTGTGATAAGTGCTGCCAATCTTTGCACCCATTCTCATTCTTCAATTGATTTTTTCCTCCCTCAAAGAGTTTGCAATATAGACAAAACACAGAATCTTTTGAGGTTGAATAAAGCAACCAGGATCTAGGGGTTTTTTCACCATTTGGAAGAATTCGTGTATAATAAGTTTCTGAAAACTTCCTCCCTGTATTGTCTTTTGGAAAGTTAAAATTTCTTACTTGAGGGGGATCATTTTCTATAAGAATGTTCCGTTGTTTAATATTTAAAAATCGGGGCCATGTGCCTGGATCTCCAGAAAGCACAACTGCTTGAGTGGAGCCTTCAGATTTTTTATTTTCCAGTTGCTCTTGAAATGTATCATCTATGATGGACACAGAAGCAGGTAAATTCATATCCTGTTTGGTTAGTGATGCATCTATCTTGCACTCTGCTGATACCTGTGGCTCTGAAGTCTTTTCCTTTTTTCTTGGTATTCCCTCTATTTTTTCCAAAAGTGTATTCAATGATCCATATAATTTCCTTTCATTTTCTTCTCTAATAGCATTTCTTTTTCTGTTTTCTGATATGGATATTTTCTTTGATTTTGCTTCCAACATCTAAGGAGAAACAGATTATATTTTTATCTTAGAATTATTAACACTAAAAAAAAATAATGTATATACAAATGCCCAGTAAGCAACCAAAAGATGTTCATCATTAGTCATTGAAGAAGAAATACAAATAAAAACCACCGAATTCTACTTCACGCCAACTAGGATGACTACAATGAAAAGACAGGTGCTGGCAAGATGTTGAAAAACTGGAATCTTCCTATAGTGATGGAGGGAATGTAAAATGGTGTATCTGCTTGGAAAAACAGTCTGGAAATTACTCAAAATTAGAGTTATCATATAACCCAGCAATGCCAAAAAGAAAATATATGCCCACACAAAGACTTACACAAAATGTTCATAGCAATATTATTCATAATAGCCAAAAAGTAGAAATAATTCAAATGTCCATTACTGATGGATAAATTAAAATGTGGTATTATCCATACAATGGAACATTATCCTATATAATAAAAGGCTAATATGCAAACTGTCCCCTTCACCGGGAGTTTGACTGGGAATTCGACCAGGGGGTGGGGCCAGCCAGTCAACCTCCAGGCCAGCCCAGCCCAAATGGGGCCGATTGGGGCCAGCCGGATCCCACCCATGCATGAATTTGTGCACCGGGCCTCTAGTTTGACAATAAAAAGTGAAGCCAAGATACGTACTACAACATGGCTGAACCTTGAAAACAGATGATAAGTATGTGAAAGCCAGTCACAAAGTACCACATATTGTATGATTCCATTTAATAAAAAGACACATTACCTACTTTGGAGTCAATAAAATAAAAATGCAAAATAAAGAAGAAAAAGAACAAAGATGTATACAATGGGAATTGAAGGCTTGATAGCTATAATAGTTTTATATATGTCATAACTTGAACAATTTATACTATGGAGCTTAAGAAATTAAGAGTTGGTGTGTTCTCCCTCCCCAGAGCAGGCCCAAACCTGCCCCTTCTGTCTCTTATTCCCCCACAGGCATGTATCTCCTAAACTCTAAGAAATCCGATGAGACTGACAACAAGAGGAGCAATGGGAAGTGGCAGTTTGTCCTGGGCTAAACCCTTAAACCTGTCCCCAAGGCTCCCTTTTCCCTGACTTTTCGAGTGAGCTGACATTAGCCCCACCTTGGCTCACTTCTCTTTTTTTTCATATAGAATATACGTATTTGTTCCAACATCATTAACTGGAAAGAGTACTTATTCTTTGTTACCTTCTGCCTTTATCAAAAGTCTGGAAAAGAAAACCTGCACTCTTTTCTCTTTCCTTGACCTGTACTGTACTTTCTTTACCCTAAGCTTTGAAATCGGGTAGTTTCACCCAACTTTTTTCTTTTTATAACCTTACTGTGTTTTAAAATCAATTTATCACTCTAACTGGTTTTTCTCAGTGGATAGAGCAACGGCCTGCAGACTGAAGGGTCCCAGGTTCAATTCCGGTGAAGGGCACATGCTCTGGTGGCAAGCTCGATCCCCAGTGCGGGGGCGTGCAGGAGGCAGCCGATCAATGATTCTCTCTTATCATTGACATTTCTATCTCCCTCTCCCTTCCTCTCTGAAATAAAAAATATATATGTAAAAAAATCAGTTTCTCAATTAAACATCCTACTGGGCTTTTTAAAAATATATATTTTTTTGATTTTTTTTTTTTACAGGAAGAGAAAAGGATAGAGAGTTAGAAACATCGATGAGAGGGAAACATCAATCAGTTGCTTCCTGTACACCCCCTACTGGGAATGTGCCCGCAACCAAGGTACATGTCCTTGACGGAAATTGAACCTGGGACCCTTCAGTCCACAGGCTGATGCTCTATCCACTGAGCAAACCGGTTAGGGCTGGGCTTTTTAAAAATATCTTCACCCAAGGAGTGAGGATATTTTTTTCCATTGCTTTTAGACAGAGTGAAAGGAAGGGAGGAGAGAGAGAGAGAGAGAGAGAGAAAAAGAAACATTCATATGACATCTATTGGTTGCCTCCCACAAGCACTCCAGAGGGTGTTGGGGGGGGGGAGGTGGGGATTGGACCTACAATCCTCCCATGTGCAGGCTGACACTAACCACTGAACTGGCTGGCCTGGGCTCTCCTGGGCTTTTGATTGTAATTACATTGAGTCTACCGCTCATTTGGAGAAAACTGACATCTTCACAGTATTGACATTTTCCAATCCATGAATATGGTATATTTCTCCATTTATTTAAAATTAATTTTATGTACTTAAAAGTCATTAAACCTGTTGCTATATTAACATGCCTTTTCTTTCAGTTTGCTGATGAAGTTCTTTTTTTTAATTTCCAGTAAAATGATTTAAAATATAATAATGTTACATGCAATAAACCTTAATATTTCAAGAAAATGATCTTAAATGTTACATGCAATAAACATTAATATCTCAAGAAAAACAATTTTAAATATGACAATGTTACCTGCAATAAACACCAATTATTCAAGAAAAATGATCTTACATATAATATTACATGCAATAAACATTAATATTTCAAAAATAAAAGGATTTTAAGTATAATAATATTACCAGAACTGTACTAACATAGTATGATATCACAAAAGTTGTAGGAAATATTAAAAATCTG